CATTATCTAGTTTTATGAGCTGGTAACCAGGGAACACAGAAACTACACAAGTTGCCCAAGGTGATACAGCGAACCAGCAGCACACCAGAGAATACAACATAGATCTTGCAAGTCCTAATCTGCCTGTCTCACTCTCACATCTGTTGTGCTCCCAGATTAGATATAAGGAAGAAATTCTTCACTCTGAGAGCGGTGAGGCACTGGAACAGGTTGCCCAGATGGATGCCTGCCCCATCCCTGGAAGTGTTCAAGGCCAGGTTGGATGAGGCTTTGAGCAACCTGGTGTAGTGGAGGGTGTCCCTGCCCATGGCAGGGGGGTTGGAACTAGATGATCTTTGAGGTCCCTTCCAACCCAAACATTTCTATGATTCTATGATACAAATATGGCTCTGGTAAAACAGAGTTCAGCCGGAATGCATTTCTTGATCACATTTAGGAGTATGTATTATAAAAGCACTCATATTGTTGCCTTTCCATGGAGAGGCACTGGGCCATTGCACTTGAAATTTCTGAGGAATTAAGAAATAATATATAATTGGTGCTAGTGATGACTGTACAAACTATGCTTTAACACTTCAGTGCCCTGCTCAGAATAGCAGTGCCTACCCAAGAGAGAGGAGACTAGAGCCAGAGCCAGAAATATGGCTGAGATGCCAATCATTTCTTACAGGGGGAAGGCTAATGGAGTAAGCAAAGAACTCATAGAATACATAATTGCACAGATGCTTGTGGGCAGATAGGAGAAAGGGCCTGCCACAAAAGGAAAATAACAAACAAAACCCCTCTCTCCACTGCTCAGCAAGGGCAGAGGAGGATGTGTGGCCGAGTCAGGTGAGGTTAAGGTTAGGAGTCAAGAGTGCCTGCAATTTAACCCTGGATCTGGCTTTCACTTAGCTGTAGGCAATGGGCAGGTCAGTAAAGTTCCCTGCCTTCATTTCTCCATCTGTAAAACAGAGTCTGGAATAATACTTACATCAGAGGGTGGATTAAAGAGCAGCTGTACAAAGCTTTGAAATGTACAGCCATAGATCAGGGCTAAATAGCTCCGTTTCTGCCATAAGCAGTCACTTTGGGGCAATATACGCTGACATGGTGTTATAGAACCAATGTTAAATGCTAGAAAGATGGGAATGTTTATTAAATGGATAGGTCAGCTTCAGGGGAAAGGCTTATGTGCTTCATGATGGAAACACATCATTTTTCAATAGGTACCAGAATGCAAGAGGCAAATATTTTATTTTTTTTAATTTTGTACACACAATACTGGGCTATCTTGAAATGTACAGGTATCCAGGCAGAGCCCAAAACTTAACCTAAGGCTGACACTGAAGGATATGAACTAGTTTTATCCTTCAAAAGCTGTCAATGTAGGTCTGATGCTTCATGTATGACATCCAGGGCAGAAGCACCTACACAGACAAATAATGCACTTAAGAGCATTGAAAGACAAGATCTTAATCTCAAGAAAAAAAATTATGTCTCTCCAATGTGTCAGAACTTTGAAAGTAATTGTGAGATCTGACAGGGCTGCTGGTGATTCTCTTAAAGACTCTTTATAGCTCTTCTTACAGGGGCCTTGGGCTGATTCATGTTGATCGTGTCTGACAGCTAGCATTTCTGTTAATAATAATCATAAATAAAGTGGACAAGGTTGCCTGACCTGAAATGAGCATATCTATAGTGCCATATCCATTACAGCACAGTGGATCTGTGACCGCAAATCAGGAAAGGTCCAATGCTCTTGACACTATGTATTACAATAATTTCTGTCTTTTAAGAGCTCAGAACCTTTGTCTGCTCTCTTTTTCACTTAAAAATGTTCCTTAATGGAGAACATTCACACTAGAACAGGCCAATAGAAAGAAGATATTACAGAGGATGAAAGATTGCAAACCTTTGCATTCTTTTTGTTTATTATGCAATAAAAATATATTTGTGAGCACCTCTATTCTCCCTTACATCTCAGCTCCTCCTTCATGTTCTCCTGCATTGAAGTCATAATCCTGGTTTTATGCCATCATAAATCTGCTGACGTGAAAAATTATACTATTATCAAACACATCAAAACAGAATTATGATTTCACTGCTGCAGGACTAAACACAAACAGGAGCTGGGTTATAAGAAAGTGAAGCGTTATTAATTTCTGGGCAGTGGTTTGCTGCTAGAGATATGGAAGGTAGTAAAGATTTAAAAAAAAAATTTGCGTAAAACCCCTTGTTGTACTTATACAGAAATACAAGTACAACTCATTCAAAACAATACAAGAATTACTTTCAGATATAGGAAATCACTATCAGAAGTACCAGAACTAACACTCTTAGAATCTCTCCATGTCAGGTGACAGGCTGAATAAAGAGAGAAGCTTTGTAAAGTACTTTGAGGGAGGTCAACGTGCCTGGCTATGCTGAGCCCGCCAAGGCAGGCAACTCCCAGGGACACAGGTCCTCCACTGAAAACCCTCCAGCCCACAGATTCAGGTCCAGTAACAGGCAGATATCTGCAATGTTGCTGACCAGGGAGAGAAGAACTAAACCACAGAAAAAAAAAGAAAATAAAGACATTAATCTATCAGCTAGCGAAAAAGCTGTATTTGGTGAAAAACACAGGCCAGTTGTTACATGGCAGTAAAAAAAGCAGCAAAGTTTAGATTCTCCATGTTTCCCACTAAGGAAAGGTCCCTGCTTGCCCGCTCACTCACTGTCTTTGTGTACCTGCACAACAAACCAGCATTGTTGCCCTGCTATGTACGGCAAGGCTGGCTAGACCATGGAAAAGCCTTTTCTCTCCACCTATGCTTTCCGGACTGCTACAAGGGCAAGCTGAAACCTGAGTCTCAAACAGTCCTCTCTTCTTAGCCCCCTTTTCAGAGCCATTGACACAATGTTCAGTCCTACACAGGGGTTACCGAAAGCCAAAGTTGTAAGCCAAAATATAACCCTGATATAAAGTACAACACACAGATCTGAAGCTCTTCTGTAATTGCAACACCAAGACAATGTTTTCCTCGCTTGTATCTCCAGCCTTGTCCAGCCTCCAATGTGCTATCTAAGCAGAGAGAAATGAAAGAAATAAAACCAACTAGTTTTATGAGCATCGGAGTAAACAGATCCTGATCTCCCACTGATTTAGGCTCGGGATGAACTCTGGAGTCTAAAGAATACACAGGCTCTACCTGCATCTCTTATCAGACAATTTTTTTTAAGTATCTCCCCCAGGGAAGTGGGGGGGTGTTCTGTAGAGTCTAATAAGGATAAGTCTACATTGCAATTTTCTCTCTGTTCCCTCATCCGCACAGCTGTCTGTTTTCACCGAACTTGATAAATTTTTTCATCTAAACGTCCTGTGGAAAAAGTCCATATCATATGGGCAGCTTCTTGACAAGATACAATCCAGTTGACAGTATACACCCAGAAATGCTCTCTGTGGACAGCTTTGTTTTCCTTTTCCACAAAGTACAAAATCATCTTTCTTTTTCTTGCAAGTTACCAGTAAAAAGTTTGTATTTGAAATGAGCTATTAAAGGAACAGCTCCTCAGAAAGAGGAAAATCACTTTGTTGCCAGGTAAACTGAAGGGATAGGAAAGAGATTTTCTCATAGGATGCAAAGTTAACTTCAGAAAGATTATTTTATCACTTTGTCTGTGCTTTCCCTGTGTGGAGTGATCACTTTCAGATGCATCCCCTGAACAGGTACAATCAGCCAGGCACTTACAGATACATTTTTAATAGCGGTATGTATTGTATTCACATCTGTTCTGCACATGTTCTTCCTGCTCCCACAATCAAGAGCATAAAGAAAGGAAGAGTTATGCATTACTCAGTTCACTGCAAATGAATTCCAGAGCTGAGCATCCCAGCAATATAAGAAGGAGCAATATTCTATGAGAATAACACATTTTGGACAGCCAGCACTACTGTAGAAGTAGCCACTGATATTTCACATACCCGTGCATAATGGTTCCAATGCCAATGAGTATTTTTTTCAGAAGTGGGTTAGGTAGGACTCGTGCTTCAGGTTGGGAAAATAGGACTCACGAAAAAGGTGATGTGACCAGCTGATGGAGGCTCCTTATCCCTGTCCTGCAATTTTCTGAAATGTGTTCTGGTGGGAAGACATACCAGTTGCAACCACACAGACTCTTGGTATGACCCAGGAGGCTCTTGCCATCTAATTAAAAAGTCCTGATGTAGTGTGAAACCTACTGAGGAATATGTCTGAAAAAAGATTAAGTCTTTTGGTCCTTTCTATGGTCAGTAAAAAGGTTTCAGATTTGAAAGTGCTTCTGTGCAGTAGCTCCCATATATTATTATCAATATAATTTATTATTTGTTATCATTAAATTACTGGGAAAAGAAGGACTCATAACTCAAAAGTTTAAAAATGAGTCTCAGAGGCAAGATAACATCTTTCAAGGGGCTTGGGCACAACTTTGTTGTATCTTCTAGGTGGGAAGAAGGAACTCAGCGATGGCTTCAGCTGTGGGACATCTTGCACCTTTGGGCATTCAGAGCACATAAGGAGCAAAAGTGGGCTCACGCTGCTATTCAGCAAGACTCGGGTCTTCTGCTGGTAAAACATGCATACCAAGAGAGGAGTTTGTGCCCAAACGGCTGAAGAATAACAGTTACATTTCACCAGCTCACAAAGGCATCTTTCTGGAATCAAATCAGAAGAATATTTGTATAAATAAATACTTGAATGTGGCTGCTATTGGCAATACTAGCCAGTTTTGGGGATAAATGTTCTTGTGTTCATGTGAAGTAAACCTTTGTGAAGTGGGTGAGGGGGAGACTCCACTGCGAAGGCAATGCAACCACACAGGATTTGTGCATGTTGCAAAATGAAGAAACTCAGAGCCTAGGACACTTACCCTGGCCTTGCTTCTCTACTAAGAGATACAGTGGTACTGAATTAGCTCACCTTTAGAGCTAGGTTCTCCACCATGTACTAGTTATCTGCTTTGGTCTGCATCCCTCTTTCACACCACCACAAGCTTACCTGCATTTGATCGCTTCTTTGGATTTTTGAGACTTCGGCACCTGCTGCTCGTGGAGCTGCTGTTCTCGCTCATGGAGTCCTGTGCCGAAGAGGCGCTCCCCGTCGCCTCGCTGTCCCTCATCATGCTCTCGTAGCCGCTGCTCCCTCCACTGTGGTAGAAAAGGGCTGTTTTCCCCATGGCAGGGGGCAGCTCCCCGCTCAGGACACTGCTGTTGTCGCTCCCGTGACCGCTGCTGCAGCGGTGAGGTTTCCGAGGAGGGGTGATCTTGCTGTACGGTGAAGGCAGCATGTGAACAGCTGGCTTCTCATCTCCTGGAAGGCCCCCGCGCTCGTCTGCCTCTGAGCTTCCTCGCGGCTGTATGCCCCTGGCACTAGTGCTCCCTTGGAGCAGCTCTGAAATCCTTCCGTTGACGGCCCGAAGAGGCAATTTGGAAGCAAGGCTGGAGCCCCGGTTTCTGCTGAGGGACTGCGTTGACCAGGACATGTTCTTCCCGCTCGGAGGCAAGCTGGAGCTCTGCCCCACAGACTGAGGCAAAGACTTGGTTGAGAAGCTGAGCGTCTTGGTGGCAGAGGCAGACAGGCTGCGGGCCTTGGGACTCGCCAGCAGGAGCTTGCTGACTGCAGAGATCTTTGACTGGCTGGCTTTTGGGGAGGCACCTGCGGACTGGGAGAGGCCCGAGTTGGTGGGTGAGGACATGACACTGCGGCTGAGGCTCCTTCCAGCCCTGGGCATGGTGGTGTCTTTGCCAGGGCTCATTTTGGAGGTCACAGAGGACAGGCTTTCCGCTCTTTCCAGCGACAAACACTCGTAGTGGCTTTCTTTTGTGCCCCCCACGGGGGTGG